TCGCCAGTAGCCGGTTAGCCCCATTGCGCTATAACTTGCTATTTGGAGTAGGATGCCCACCACTTTCTTCTTGATGAAACACTCAACATATTGCGAATAAAATAAATTTTGATGGTGTTTAAATTAATTATGAATTTCAATTTAAGATAAAACATCGAGTAGCTTTGTGCTATACCTCTTTCGCCACGAAAATTGCCAACACAATTGCTGTAACAATCATAATAAGGATTCACTTATTAACAGGATCACTTGCTCACTGAATGCCTTTTTTTGCCCCCAACAAAGTGTATTCTTTCAAAGTGCCAAGTATGTTGAACGACAATGCCAAGTACAGCTTATAAAACAGCAAGACAAAGACATCTCCAAAAATCGATTTCCTCACGCGTCTAATGTATGTTTAGTATTTTACATAAAATCCTAAGAACAGTAATTTTACCCGTATTTATCTTTAAAGAGAGTTCAATAATTATATAGCATATTTGGTTAAATTATTGAGAAAGAAATTACTTCTTTACAATCCGCATTTCGCCTTTTAATATGTGCGTCGAGAAGACTGAGATAAAATCTATAAAATACACTTTTAATCTTTATCGTATTGCTGTTAATAAAATATCCAGAAATGCTGATCGATAACAATCTTAGCCGTAGTTAGACTGTTTAGTATTTTCTATTGGAAACTACAACCTCAAACCCTAGTCAGTTTCTTCAACTTTTGATAGAAGACATGAGAGATAATTGAAATGCGTACCTAAGTAAGATAGCATAAACTAAGAATTTAATTAAATCCGCTCAGAATGAATTTTCAAACTTTATTTAGTAATTACCTGGCAGGCCATTGCCATGCCTCGCAGAGAGTAAGTCTTATTTATTTATTTAATACATTATCTTACTGAGTGATTGCTTCACGTGTTTACGTTTTTGTTACCCATGTTTTCTATACATTTAATTTTATTACACATACTCTGTTTTGTGTGAAATTCAGCAATTAAATACACATAACTATCACCCATTGCTGAACTTCTTTCTTCCTCCTATGGTTTAAATTAAGTTTTTTAATTTATCACAATGGAGAAACCATCTATCAGTATGTTTGTTAAGCTTTCCCTCAGTCATATCGATTTGGCGTGCTGGCAGATAGAAGTATATCCTATTGCCGGAAATCTTTTTCCATCTGTTACAGGATCAGTAATAAATGATGTGCACAGCTAGGTCTGAATATTAAGTCTTTCATTACTTAAACTATCAATTGGCCTCGTGTTATTTGAATAAATAATATCCTAATCCGAAAGTTTTTCCTCTAGTGGCTTGCTTTTGAACAAGGTCATTTCATATAAAGGTTTTGTGTTTTGTTTTATAACTACTGGGAACTCATTTTAATGTTTCAGATGCTGAATAAAGCAGCCAACAAATTCTGATTCTTTTATTTTTTCAGTCTTACTTTTTGCAATCTGGTGGACTCCACTCCTAAAAAACTTATTGAAAGTCCTTGACTTGTCATTTGTTTATTCCGTTTTTCACGATTTCATTTTACTTTTTTAACTTGTCAAAATCAACTCTTTTTTGTTCACGATATTTGAGAGTAAAGTTTTTCATTACTTCAAACTATTTCCATTTTGTTAAGTTGTAAAGTATATTTGTAAAATACACATTTTAATAATATTGTCATTAGAAAGCTTTATCATTAGCAATAATGATTATACTGTGACCTTCATTTAATTTTTAAAATTTTGTTTATTTAGTTAAACAAGTATCCCTTGCAAATACTTATTCCGAAGTCCTAAGCATTGAAAACTAATTTTCCAGATGAGAAAGTGTTTTTTTTTTGATATGATATCAGTATGGTAGTAGCAGAAATTTGAAATCTTCTCATATTTTTTTCATTGATCTGAAGAGAACGAAATGAATGATTCTAGCTTTGATTTATACTGTAGAACAGTGTGGTCCGACCTCTGAGGGCCAATCAAACGTTATTATAGGAGAGTGAGGGCCAATCAAACGTTATTATAGGAAACTGAGAGCCGAGACATTAAAGAAAGAAAATGATTATATAATCACTAGTTTAATATCTTTAGAATGAAAAGAAATTTTCCTGGTGGACAGCTTGTCAATGTCAGTGTGTAAAATGATGATGTGTCGAATTAATCTATGGGAATGTGTGATCTATAAAGGAATATAAATTAAATAACGACTTACCCCAAAAGGATGCCACTTCAAATAATCTAAATTAAGTAAATTATCTTGACCACAATACACAGAAGAAATTCTTCAACGGATCATACAACGGCAGAAAGAAATAGTCCTACCATTTGACACTAACCTTTCGTACAAGAAATGCGTAATATTCCAATCAAAGTAAATCTCAGTGCATCGTCTTTAAACAAAGTTTCATGATAAAAAAATCACAATTTATAACGGAGGAAGTCGAGTTGACTGGTTATTCCAATATATTTTTGAAGAAACACGAGTCGAGTATTCGTATCATCAGGAAAGTGGTACACGGCCAGTATTCCTTTCGAGGATGTTTCAAGTGTAGAACATACATTAATTTACTGCAGAAGTCAGCATCTAGATAATTTTAGCGAATCTCAGTACCAATCTATTTCCAGGAAAAATGCATTACTCTACAAACATATGGAGATGGCAGTCAAAACAGGAACGAAAAAGAACAAATGGATACAAGCGTCATCGGGGTTGAGAATGGCCCAAAGACCGTCCTACACCTTCGGAGCTCAGCAGCAGGAGGAGAAACCGGTTGTAGCGTCAATTTCGCTCTATTGAGCGGTCGCAGTGAACAGACTTGATGTTGAATAAATGTGGAGGCTTGCCTGCACACAGTGGTTCCCCACTAAATATGCTATTTTGTATTCCCTGCAGTTCAGGTTCGCCAGCTAGTTCTCATCCTAGCGACTTTTTTACACTGCTTGTTTTTCAAAAATACAGTTTATTCTGTTTATTATTATTTAAAGCAATAGGAAGGGCCTTTTGTATTTCTAAATGTTTAACTAACATTTCTGCCTCCAGTAAGAAGGGCAAGTGCCAACGAAATGAATAAGAGGGCTGCGGGTTGAACCACACTACTCTAGAATATAATGTTATTAAGAGTTTGAGAGTTGTTGAGAGCAGAGTTAACCTAGTTGAAAGTAAAGGAATAGAAGTCTCGTCCACGGCCTCATTTGATACTGTTAGTTCAGAGGTGTGTGTGTATTTAATTATGGCAAAGCACACTAGGGCTATCTGCCTAAGGGGAGGGATGCCTTCGTGGAGGACTTTCTAAGGGAAACTGGCTCGTAAACACGTTACACATGGGGAAAACCACGAAAACACCCATGCAGCCAGTCCGTTCGCGGGATTCGAACCTCGGACCGAACTACAGTGTTCAGCGACACCACTCTGCCGCTGGTTGGCCTGTAAGTTCAGAAAAGTTTTTGAAATTTTCAAACTTCAGGCCAGTCTTAGGAGCTGTACTCTAGTGTATCATCGAATGCATCGCGAGTTGTGTGGAGAGTCTCGAGAGTACGTAGAGTTCCGAGAACAATCGAACAGAGTCGGGAGCTGTACTTGGTGCTTGCAGTGAAACTGTTGTAAGGATCTTAATTTTACAACGTTTATTTTATTTTAAATCTTTACTATCACTCTTATTTTACTTCCGGCCAGAATATATAAGCGTGAAGGAGTTTTATGCAAAGTTGTCTGGCGAACGCCAAGTATTTATTTAAGTGTGGCCTTTTGCCAAGCAGAAGAGAGGAAGCCGTGAGTGAGTTCGAAGCAGGCCGCTTACCTTAGAAGTTACGCAGTTGCTACTGTGCCTTCCGGCCAGAGTTTGCCTCTCTTGATAATTAAACGATTGTAGTGTTCACCAGTCTTGTGCTACATACGCTTTTGATATAAGGCATATCTTATTATAAAGTAATTAGAGTTTAGTTTTATTTTGATATCTTTAAGTTAGACCCCGAGTGGAGGGCATTGTATTCCGAATACGAAGTCATTGTATATAAAAAAAAAATAAAGGTTTGTATACCTTGCTGTATCCTGTCTACTTACTACAATTAGTGAACATTAGATTTAGTAAGCTCTCGTTCTAGTCAGTCATTGTATGGTTCCGAAGAAGGTTAGAAGAAAATGACCTGATACTGTTTCACCATATAGAATGAGCATGAAGTTGTGCCGCTGATTGTTACAGGTGTTTAGAGACTCGACGCTGTGACCACCGTGATATTGAGCTTGTCTGAGATACTGGCATAAAGTGTGTTTTGATACTTCATCAAGTGCTTTTGTCATTATTTACTCCAAATCCGTACGTTTTCTCCTTTATGGTAGCTGCATAAAACTTCAAAAATATATTGACATTTTTTGCTCGAATAATTGTTTAAGTTATACTATTATAACTTAAACAATTATTCGAGCTGTAACAATTCCTGTTATGAAATAAAAGCCTTGAATTGACATAACTTAAAGATGAGATGATATTCTCTCTATACAACACTTTTAGGTTATAAACACGATAAATTGTCTTCCAGAACGGTTATTAAAAAATGTAACTAATTAACTTCTCCATTTTATAAGCAAACAGCATATATCTGAATTCAATATTCTTTGCATAAAAGATCCCCAATTTAAGTTTCTTACTGGAGGTTTCTGAGTTTCCTACTGGAATTTATATATAATAACGTAAAATGGTCACTTACAGATGCAACTTGTTTTTTCAAAGACGTTCACTGAACAATGAGTAACGAAGTCGTAGATTATATACTTCCTAGAACTATAAAAACTCTTCCAAAATATTACTGTTTAAGCCTAGATAGTTTCAAGAGATTTCAGATTATCTTTATTTAATAATGTAATTCACGCGTAAGTTATACTAGAGTAATAATTATGACAACAATTATAGTGCATTAAAGTACCTTAAGAACTAACTGAATTTTTTATTGATGAACCTGAACTACGTGATTTTATTTTCGGTAAATGAATATTAATATTTTTTCTTTTTATTCTAGTCAATTTGGGAGATCTTCCGATGGAAAATCCAGATCTCATAGAAGGAGATATTCTAGGAGCGGATGATCAGGATGTAATTTACGATTTTCAATGCTTATTTTTAGTAATAACTATATACAAGAGTGAATATCTGAAAATTTCAGGCGAGAAAAAAATGAAACAATGGAATGTACTTCACGAAAAAGATTAAAAGAAATATCACGAAGCTTGTTGGCATCGCGCTAAGTAGCCAAAATTGGCAAATTTAATCTCTTAATTTAATTTATAATATGAATGTTCAAATGTCGCCAAAGTAACGCTTACGTAATGGCCGTTTTAACAAAAAAGTTCTTCACTAAGTTTATTGCAAATGAAAATTTTACATTCGGTGTAATTTTAATTTATTAGTATTTGCTAATGTATTTATGTGAAAGTTAAAGTTTTGAAATTAGTGCTTATTTATTGGAAAAATAGTATAACGCATTTATAAGCAGACAATTATTCGTCTACTTATACCCGTTTGCTGCTTAGATAACTGCTTGTATACTTATATAATTGTTTATAAATCTTTGACTTCAGGAATAAATGATAGCAGTGGACATGTATGATGATAGAAACTTTAATGGGTTATTTAAAACTAGGCAAAAAATCAACCTTAGATTGTAAGAAATCATAACACTATTCTCCTGTGCGTGCTCTTATTGTGTAAGTGGTAGTTATCATGTCCACCTAGCAATTGGGATATCCGAGGTTCGAATTCCGGAGAAGGCAGAGTTGATTTATTCCATTTTCTGGCTTCGAAAATCTAATAGATTTCTACAGTGGCGCTTTAATTAAAATACGGTGAATATTAATTCATCCCCACATGAATTTGGTCATCACGACCTATGTCTTGGGGGCCTTTCCTATGTCTTTATTTTAATAACAGAGAATATAAGTAATTATCGCATTCCTCTGCGTGATTTTGCGGTGTAAGTATGCTCAGCTAGCAAATAGAAGATCTAACTAGCAATTAGAGCTAGCAATCAGCTAGCAATTTGAAACTAGGGCAAAGTTTATTTATTACGTGGCTTCGAAAAATATAACATATCTCTACAAGATCAGCGTTGAGACCTAGTGACAATTTAAGACTAATTTTTGCCTAATTTTAAATTCTGTACTTATTCGCTTCTCTTCCATATAGCGACAGGCAAATTAAGGTGTTTAAAATCTTTAAAATAACAGCGAGGAAGTAAGCGATGAAGCGATATGTTTATTTAATATATCGGAATGAGAGAAAGATCTTCGATTTATTCTTTTCTGATCCAATAATAAAATAAAAAGGATAAATTAATTAAATCTGAGAGAACTGAAATTAAACTGAGAAAGAAATTTATATTTTAATTGCATATAGTTCACCTATAATTAAACCTTCATTACTTAATTTTAGTTGTTATCTGTCTCTCAGTTCAAACAAAAGAAAATTACTCGTAATTCTGAGATAAGTTAGTGATATATACAATTAAGTAAAAAGGTATCAATAGAGATTAGTATGGTGTAAGAAAAAATAACTTTTAGCCTTCATTGAAATATTTTCAGTGATTATCATTTAAATTTTTACTTTTAAAGATGTATTTTTTTTCTGGAATAAAAATTTTAACTTAGCGTATATGTTACTTAGCGTAAGATGAATTTTAAAAATAATATATACAAATAAATGGAAATATCTAAGTAAAATCTAAGTAAAGCGTTTCTTTTATTATAGTATAAAAATATCAGAAAATTTAATTTTTCATTTATAATAGTATTTTAATTTAAATTACCTTTCTAATTTAATTTAGCCCTTTAAGAAGAAAATCTATGAAGCTTTTTGTCTTTCTTCTTATGTCGAGTGTAATGACTTTCAATGAATTACATAGTCATATGACCCAACTTTTAAAATAAATATAACTTTCAAGGGCAAAGTTGAAAGTAGTTTCCGGAGTAACTAGCGTAGGAGTAGTAAAGCTTCTAGTCTTACAGAAAAGAGAAGCAGAGAATAATTTTAGCATCACCGATTACATTTGCATTGATGTTTGTAAATGTATTATTTTATTTTATAAAAGATTTTAAAATAATACTAAATTATCCATTTTGTTAAAAACTTACATCGAATTTTTGAACTCTGATATTAAGTTTCTTCCGAAAGTTTAATCAGTAAAACTCTACAAATTGTGTCATGGGTCAAGCACCAAATATTGCGAATTAAACACAAGAATTAGTCGAAGTAATAATATAATAATAATAATAATAATAATAATAAAAATAGTCGATAATATGAAACTCACAAACACTAAGTTATCTTTCTGATTTTTTAAATTTATCTCTTTAGCACAGCGCATCACTAAATTCTCTAAAGTTTTCGCGATTGTTTCCACTTTATAAATGAAGATTGTCGAACATAGGTACTTAGGGTCTTAGGGGACCAAATCAAATCCGGGGTGTGGAGATTCATCATCCGAACCTTTTAGTTTGGCGCCACTGTAGAGACATAAGGTTTTTGGAAGGAAAGAGAGATGAAAATTAGCAAACGCTTCAGGGAATCGAACCACGAACCTCTGGAATACCGGCCCAGCGTGCAGAACCACTACACCACGAAGGCACGCTAGAAAGGCGGAATAAATACATAAGATGTAAATGAACATTTGTCAATGTAATACTTCTAAATTAAAAATTTAATATGTATCACATTTTCCTTTTTGGGTAATGGATATTCCCTATATCGCAACCAGTCATGAATATATCTATGATTCATGTAAGAGCATATTCATTTTGTAAAATATTAAATGTAAATGTAGGAAAAATACTATTAGAGGATTTTTCAAAATCCTGTAGTTTTAATTTCTAGATAGCTTTTTATGTTACAACAGAATGAAATTAAGGCTGTTAGGTTCTCAAAATTTTTATCAAAAGAAAAACATACACTACTAAACAGAGAAAATACACACTATGAAAGAATGACTGGAAACAGACCAAACTTTGTACGTAGATAGATGATTAAACATTTAATAAATGATTTAATTTTCCAAAGATGTACAACAGTAAAACATTTAGATATACAGAGTACTTATAAGTGAGTGTTTGAAGCTCCAATCTAGATAATACATTCTTGAATCTATCGTTGCGTCAAACTAATGAGTATTCGAAAGGTGCTCAGTAATATCGAACACGAGATGTTGTTGACGTGACTTCGCAGTTCATCTTCGTTTTTGGGAGTTAAGAAGTATTCAAAAGACTCCTAAACTTGTCCCACAAATGCTAGGCCAGCAGAAAATTGGGAGATCGAGCTGGAAAAGGGAACTCTTGTAGATCGTATTACGGTACATTCAAGGTGAGTCAAGCAATCTGTGTGGCCGGGCCTTATCTTATTAAAATAAGTATTTGGGAAGCCCTGAGGATACTGAAGAGGATGAGGCTGCAGCACGTCATCAGTCAAAAGAAAAACACACACTGCTAAACAGAGAAAATACACACTATGAAAGAATGACTGGAAACAGACCAAACTTTGTACGTAGATAAATGATTAAACATTTAATAAATGATTTAATTTTCCAAAGATGTACAACAGTAAACATTTAGATACAGAGTACTTATAAGTGAGTGTTTGAAGCTCCAATCTAGATAATACATTCTTGAATCTATCGTTGCGTCAAACTAATGAGTATTCGAAAGGTGCTCAGTAATATCGAACACGAGATGTTGTTGACGTGACTTCGCAGTTCATCTTCGTTTTTGGGAGTTAAGAAGTATTCAAAAGACTCCTAAACTTGTCCCACAAATGCTAGACCAGCAGAAAATTGGGAGATCGAGCTGGAAAAGGGAACTCTTGTAGATCGTATTACGGTACATTCAAGGTGAGTCAAGCAATCTGTGTGGCCGGGCCTTATCTTATTAAAATAAGTATTTGGGAAGCCCTGAGGATACTGAAGAGGATGAGGCTGCAGCACGTTATCAGTCAAAAGAAAAACACACACTGCTAAACAGAGAAAATACACACTATGAAAGAATGACTGGAAACAGACCAAACTTTGTACGTAGATAAATGATTAAACATTTAATAAATGATTTAATTTTCCAAAGATGTACAACAGTAAAACATTTAGATATACAGAGTACTTATAAGTGAGTGTTTGAAGCTCCAATCTAGATAATACATTCTTGAATCTATCGTTGCGTCAAACTAATGAGTATTCGAAAGGTGCTCAGTAATATCGAACACGAGATGTTGTTGACGTGACTTCTCATTATCTTCGTTTTGGGAGTTAAGAAGTATTCAAAAGACTCCTAAACTGTCCCAACTGCTAGACAGCAGAAAATTGGGAGATCGAGCTGGAAAAGGGAACTCTTGTAGATGTATACGGTACTCAAGGGAGTCAAGCAATCTGTGTGGCCGGGCCTTATCTTATTAAAATAAGTATTTGGGAAGCCCTGAGGATACTGAAGAGGATGAGGCTGCAGCACGTCATCAGTATATCGGCATCTCATTAATATGCCTATAATGCACGCTAGAGATGAGCGGCTGTTAAAACTTATGAGACGGAAATGATTATTTCATTCTGACCAGCCGTGTGTCCCTCAAAAATGGTAAAACCATCTGCCCGGTGGCCACATCCCTTCTATACAGTCAGACGTCGATCATCGTTTGCAAGGCAGAAACGAGATTCTCCGCTGTCCCATTCCTCACTCCATGCTGAGACACCATTGCAAACGTTCACGACAATAGTTCACTAACGGAAGCCTTCATAAAGGATAATTGGACACCAAATGACGACAGCACCAAATAATCACGATATTGGAGCAACGGGAACATCCCATACATTTCATAAAATGTCTCCAACTGTGGGCTGAGGTTCAAATACAGAGTGACGTTTTATGCGTCGATTAGGACGCTCGAACATCCATCTTTTTTCTCGAAACCTCATGGTAGTGCATATTTCTTTCCTGGGTCCATTATCGCAAAACTTACCAATAGTTGAGACATGGACCTGCGTTCCTTCTTCGATACGGGCATAAGGACCAACCTATGTTACTGAAGAATAACAAGAAACATCTCTTGACCTCGTTTCTTTACTAATACTGAATGCGCTTACATCTTAAGGCATTATCTTCTCTTTTTTGTTTAATACGCTCTGTACTAATCCAAATTAAAGCTTTCAGAAGGGAACAAATTAAATAAGACTAAAATTTCAACTGCGAAGCATTTACCATGCCCATCCTCATTACTTTACGGGCTCACAACTCCAAAATAATGTCTTAAAAAGCAATAAGCCACTATTTTAATTAAAAACTCAAACATCTGGACTAACTTAGACATAACACAGCGCATCTAAGTATTTGAGGAATCTAGATAATTTCCCTCACGGTAAAATATGGGCGAATCTTCTGTAATACAAGAGAAAGCCTTTTGCTTCTATGTTTACAAAATTTTATTTCAACAATGTTTGAACAATTGACCATTGTATTACATACATTTGAATAGAACTCATATGCAAATTGGCTACCAATAAATTTATTGGGAAATGTTTTTGAATTTTGCAACAATTTGAAAAATACTGTGAGAGTGGCCTATGAGCACCTCAACACTTGAAGAAATTAGGTATATCGCGGATGGATATTAAACTTACCTAAGAAACAATCGCAAATTAAAAAGTTTTTTTTAAAGAATTTAAATTTTACACAGGAATTTTAATTTTCGCACAACGTTAATTTAATAGTTTTAGGCAGTTATACTTTAGAGAGTTTTTTTATGTTCCGAGTTATACTATTTTCTACATTTTAAATAAATGAGAAAATTGGAAACACGTTAATTATACAAAAAACAAGTTTCATTTTACTTAATATAGAAAGGAAAATAAGTTCTCCGAATAAATTCCAATAGCACTTAAACGTGCTTGAGGCTCAATGCGCTTAAAATATGCTTGAGGATAATTCTAAACTTTGTTTTCTTGGAAAAACTTAGTTAGTTGTCTATGCAACCATATTAACTAGATATTCGTGAGGCAAATTATAAAAGCACATGGAATATCATTAATCTGAGAAAATTTATTTTACATCTTTAAAGGCTTGAATCATGAAGATCCATAAAAAAATCGAATCTATATGCATAATAATGAATACTTCCAAATTATGAAAGGGTGTATTCTGATTAATTTATATTTCCAGGACAGAAATGCAGTTGTGGATAAAAGACAGGTATGGCCGGGAGGAATTGTACCGTACGTAGAAGATCCTGGATTGGACAAAACTGTCAGTAAGTTTGATTTATATTTTAATTTGCTTTGAAATTTTTACGAACACAAAGTTAAATAAAGTGAATTAAGAAATCTCTGAAACAAAACTTTTAGGTAAGTTATGTTTCATATAGATATTTTTACAGCATTTTTGTGCAGTACAGTAGAAGATTCTTACCATGATATATTATTATGATGATTTTTAAGAGTAGGAATTTTAAAATATTTTCTTCATGAAATTTGACTAAAATTTTTATAGTTCGATAAAAGCATTTGTAAAAGCTAAATTAATTTAATATTTTGTCATGAAATGTACTTTTTGCGATATTAAAGTTACTTAACAAATTCTAACAATAAAATTAAAAATCCAACTAGCAAAGCAGCTATTTAATGTTAATATTGTATAGAATTAAATTAAGTATAAGAATAAAAAACGAAAATTATACAAATAAAAATAAAAAAATATGTTTTATATGTAAAATAGGATGAAAGTGAAGTATTTATATATAATTTCGAATATGTTTTACGTATATTCTAAAATAAGACATAAATATAGATCCTGATATAGGTATCTTGTAATTTAGACTGAAAATTTTACAGATCCAGCTATCATGACAAATGCCAGATTTATATACAAGAGAGACACTTGTATCCGCTTCGTACCCAGGACTACTGAGAAGGATTACATAAGAATATTTCCAGGACAAGGGTAATAAAAATCGAAATATTTTCGAAATAAATATTGTTTATGTAAATTCGCTAAAATTAATCAGTATATAGTAAGAACTAAGCTTTTATCAACAAAGTTAAGGGTTACAGAAGTAGAATGTAGTAAATATACAGCTAATGATAATTACTATCAAATACCGAATTTTTGATCAAGGAAGTATTAAAAGTTATTTCTAAATCAAAGTTAATCGAGAAATCGCTGTTTAATCTAAGAATAATTTCATTTCTTTTTTAAACATGAGACATTTAATGAGGCACTGAAATTTTTATTTGCACTTGCTAAGTAACCAACTCTTTTAAGTTTTAAGCAAAAATGTTATTAAATTTGTTTCAATACAGCATAGTTTTCCGTTGATTTTGCTCTTTAAACTGAGTACGGTAAATCGGGTTGGAATGTATTTATTTAAAATTCAGTTTTAAAAACATACATACCGAATTTGATTTTAATTACATCCAAAAAGAATAGCTCACCAGCGGCCGAGCGGTAACATAGCTGAACGCTAGTAGTTCGGTTCGAGGTTCGAATCCCGCGAACGGACTGGCTGCATGAGTGTTTTCGTTGTTTTCCCCATGTGTAACGTGTATATGAGCCAGTTTCCCTTAAAAAGACATCCACGAAGGCATCCCTTCCTTAAAGCAGATAGCCCTCGAGTGCTTTGCCGTAATCTAATAAACCAAACCAACCTAAAAGAATAACTGACAGAGTAATTTTGGAGTACAATAGTACAGACTAACCGATGGACTGCTACCCTCAAAATTCGTAAATTTAATTTTTGCTATTCCGAAAAGTGCTAAATTTCATTTATTCAAATTACATTGATATTGCAAAAAACAAACTTACAAACTGATTTATAGCCTGTATCTATTAACTGGGTTAACTAAGCGTAATTAAAATGGACAATTTATGAATAAATATTTTAAATATTCCTGTTATCGAAAAATTAAAACTCCACAAAATATAGAAAATGAATAACTTGGAGGAAGCTGTAAGGTACTGTTAATTGAAAACCTCTTATCATTCTTCGAGGTAGTTACTGCTACGAACAAAAAAATGGAAACATTTAACATTTATTTATTTATTTACTTTGCAAATTTGAGAATAACGTTATTTTAACTTCTTTGAATTATGACTAATGTGTATTGTTTGAGCTTTAGTGATATGATTTGTTGATTTTATGAATATCATCATAATTACTGAGATTACTAAGATGTTTCACCTGTGATTACTAAGATGTTTTGGTATCATAGTGTTTCTCTCCTATCCCCAAAATGCATTATACTCCCTTCCCCCCCCAAAAATAGAAAGAGATACACATTTTTTAGAAAACGATTGCTTTTGTTTTCTGAATTACATGGAAAAAAATGGGTAGAGAAAAATTTCGCAACAGTGTGAAGTTGCAAACTATTTTAAAAACAATGCACAATATTGGATCATGAAATCAGAAAAATTACCAACTTTATTAGAAATTTCCCCCAAAACGTTTTACAACAATAAATGAAAAAAATGGGCTTAAACGTAGGATCAGTCCTTCTAAAATACCTCAAAAGAGAAAAGAATGCTTCTCTGAAAGTCAAAAGAGAAACCATTTTTGTCTGCCTTAGAGATTTAGGTTGAAAGTGTTAAAATGTAAATGTTTAAATGTAGCAGTACAAGTTGATGTATACCAGTGAATGAAAAGCTGTATTCTTAAAGTCCAAGAAAGGTTTTGGTTTTTAAAATATGCGTACGGAAAAGCATATGCATTTTGCCAAACTATATCATACCGAAAATTATCCTAATGTCCAAAGAAACAGTCGAGAAATTCTGGAGTAATAAAACAAAAATAAATTTGTTTGGAACGGATGAGAAGCTGTTTGTTCGCCAACCTAAAAGTCAGCACATGATTCAATTTATTTTAATTGCGAGCACTAGCTATTTTTAAGCTTTCGCCAGTTGCTGAAAGTGGAGGTGTTAGGCTTATGTGGTAGAGTTGCTGTTTGTAGAATGGCATGAGCCCAATTTTTTACATAGATGGAATCATAGCTAAAGAGATGTATGTGAGCATTTTAGACAAAAGAGAAATATGCAGCTAAAACGGCTATATCAGTAAGATAATGATATGAATCGTCCCGTAAAGGCAACGGAAAGCTGGCTCGGGAAAAAGGAAAAAAAAAAAAAAAAAAAAAACTGGATTGATCACGGTCTTCTCATTCATTGGATCTAAGTCGAATTGAGAATTTATGTCTTGAACCAAAATATAAAATAAAAAATTATCCCCCATTACATTCCAGGGAACTTTGGAGAATTGTGCAAGATGCATAGTACTGTATTCTTGTTAAAAACGTCAAAAATGAGTGGACTCCATGTCAAACAAAATTAGTGCTTAAAAATAGAGGCTTTCGAACTAAATATTAATGAAAAAGTTAAAAGTTTTGTAACAAATATGTCACTACATTCTTCAAGTCTCACTCTCCCATTGTCTTTAGCAAAGAGATTGCCATGCACTTTTAATCTTTTACTATAATGCGATAGGGTAGATCTCTGTCAGGATATGTACTGCTTCGCAGTTATATGTATTTACATCGTGTATTATGCCCATAGTAAACACTTCCACTAAAAAAAAACACCATATATGTATATCATTGTTTCGATCAGATGAGACAATATAATTTAAATTAAAGAATTAAAGAAGCTTTAAATTGGTGAAAAACTTCGGGAAAAATGAATTGCTCTTTAGGAATTAAAGAACACTTTTCTTTTTTTAGTTGTTATTCCCATGTTGGTAAAACAGGAGGAGCGCAACCACTTTCTCTTGGCATGGGCTGCGGTTACATGGGAACAGTCATTCATGAGCTCGCCCATGCTCTTGGATTCTACCACGAACAGAACAGATCTGACAGAGATGACTGGTTAATTATTTTCTGGGAAAATATCAAAGAAGGTAAGTGGAACTTAAAGAAGAACGTACAATTTAGCACATTGTTTCTTTAAACTCAGATCTCAACGTTCTTTCATATTTGAGTCAGTTGATAAAATTAGGTTTTTCAGCAGTAAATATAAGCAGTACATATTTTTAATAAGCAGTCAACATATAAGCGGTAAATATAGTTATAGTGGTATATTGATTTCAAATATCATGAAGCTATAAGAATGTATTTATATATTCAAATGCTCCAAATGCAATTATTAATTGTTGGAACATAAGCTTATAAAAGGTATTAACTATCGAATAAATTATTATTATATCACTAGGATCAAACCCATTCAACTTTAACATTTTATATGAGGGAAAATAGATGCCTGTACAGACTACGCAAGTATTACTTGCTTGTCTTATCAAGTATCAGTCAACTTATCGTTTTAATTACTGAAGCTTATTCAGAGAAAAGAAATTTTACTCCAGTCCAAGCGTAATATTGTAAGCATTTCCTACAAAGATTAAGAAACTGCAAATCGGTAAAATGGTATGGTCGCATTTTTTAGTTACGTTTTGAGTAGAAAGAAGCAGGAAATTGCTGATTGGTACTTTTTAATATACGTAAGTACAGATATTTGTGCTCGTTAAATACTATTTAATCAACATTAATAATTAATCAAATCATATATTGTTCTACTCTTTGCTCAATTTTATGAAACAACACATGTAATGATTGGTTTTAGCAGTTCAGTATGTTGTCATCAAAAGCCGTGATCGGTTTTGCTGAAATGTTTCCATTTCCATCAAAATATTTGCTTTAATACCTAAACGAGAACAATTCTTTGCTACCTGTTTACATCACAGATCATGCGTTGCACGCTACCGCAGCTTAGTCGAGATCTTTTGAGATCGCACGAATTTATGCGACATTCCGCCCTAATCGCATCATCCATTGCACGCTGTCTATAACGGACGTGAAGAACCTCCCAGATCGACTTGCATCTTAAGTTGAATCTCGACCAGTACTGAATATAGTCACGGAACATAGCACTATTCGTCAATGATAGTTTCCGACAAGTATGTTTTTCCTTACACATTCTTCATTCTCCAATGAATGCCTATTGGTTTTGGTTTTGTTCTTCGGCAGCAGATAATAGAATAAATTACGTTGACCCTGTTTGGACGCATTTGGTAACAACGTCGCGATTGTTAACGTTCAAGCATTTCCCACATCGGAAATAGAAGAATGCCAGAATAATCCCATGCCAAGATGTCGGTGCTTATATAACCGCATCCGTGAAAAGCTAATTTGCATATATTGCAAACGGACGACCTCAAACGGAAACTTGTTGATCACTTCTTATATCAACAAATCCCCTTAACCTATTCAAACAGTTATTATTTACCATTATTTAATTACCATAATTACTAAATCTTATTTCTCTTATTTATTTTATTTACATATAAATTATAGCTAATTTCTTTCTAAGATAAAGGTGATTTTTTGAAAATGCACAGATGTTCTACATTTCATGCATACAGTAGGCAACAGAATTAGCATTAAAAAATTATGATGATGCAAAAAATATAACATAGTTCTGCTCTACATCTCTATAGGAAATAAACAACAGTGGCCATAATGTTCATTTGAGAAGTGCCCCAAATATACTACCCAGTTTACACTTTTCTGTCTTAATGAGAAGGGCCATCTGCTGCCTCGAAGGCTTCATTTTTTTTTCATGACTTCATTTTTTATGGCACGTGGCCAAGAAAAGAGTAATTTCGCTATTGACTGTGAATTTTTTTTATCAGTGTATATTTACGCGCGTTTTGCCTGAAAGCGTAAAGGCAAAATTGATACACGGCGTACAAGCGGATGTGCGGAGTGTACGTGTGGATTTCGGCGTCGTAAGCGGAAACTGATTTTGGTGAATTTTTACTTCGCTCAAGGGCCACAAAGTTCACATTAATTTCTAACCTAAGCAAGATTAAAAGCCTGATTCTGAATCGAAATTTGAATTTTAACGCGTACATTTCATGTGTTAGTGTTATTCTGTTTGCAAAGTTATTTAAAAAAAGCTAATTTAATATAAAGTTGTACTAATAGTATGTTGAAATGAGCTATATTAAGTATAGCAATGTTCATATACATTCAACCAGTGTAGTATTATTTTCCCTTTAGTTCTACTTTGAGTGGCAACAAGTATAAAAAGTTATATTTTGTAGAATAAACTTGTTTTGTTGTGTTTAAAATTATACAGAGATTATTTAGGTAGGAATGAGTTTATGAATGGACAAAATGGTGAACATTTACTGTCGTATCTAACAAACCGTTTTTATTCTAGGTTGTATTCCATAACAGTTGGGTAACCATAACATCTGTTTCCCACTCTATGAACAGACATCTGAAATTAACCCTTGCGTTCAAACAAGGGGCCTTCCACTGCTTTACAAAAATCGAGTATATTGCGTCTTTGCACAGGTCCACCTGCGGTCGAGCGATAGAGTCGCTGAGCGCTGGCAGCTCCAACCCGGTTTCGATTCCAGGCGAACGGGTTGGCTGCATGGGCATTTTGGTGTTTTTCCCCATGTGTTGTAATAGTATGTATACCAGCCAGTTTTCCTTAAAAAGCTCTAACCGAAGGCATCCCTCACGCCAAGCAGCTAACCGTCGCGTGCTTTGCCATAATTAAATAAAACAAACCAGGTTATTTGTAGAATACATCAAGTGTACTGTTCTTCTTTTCAAACAAAATCGTTTTCTGAACTAATTAGAGTTTGCTCAAAGCGAAATTTTTCGAGAAAAATAAAATTTCTCTTCCTCAAGCAAATGGTGGTCGGTTTCCTTCTGGATTATAAATATAAAACATCAGCTTTTGCCATTAGTAATGATTTTTTTAAAGCATCCGGGACAATAAAAATATCATATTAGCCAAATTTTCCCAGATTTTTTTCTGTCTGCCATATCGTATTGGTTTTTGTTTTGGTAATCTGAATTCGTAACAGAAGCTATTGGCTACATAATTTCGAAAAACATTCCAAAACATATTTTTGTTACGAAACAGTATTTTAAAAAAAGCTGAGACATGATAGTAATCGTTGCTATTGTTATATTTGATAGATTCAATGAGAATGACTGAAAATATCCTGTGAAAAAACTTTATAAATGTAATGTATACAGCCTCCGTGAATCTCCATGTGCCATATATGGGCTCCTCTTATTAGCTAATTGAATCGACCATTAACATTAAAAGTTAACTTTCTAAGAATTAGTTTTTAACATTTAACATCAAAGCGTAATGATTTTTAACGCTAGTCTTAAATTTAGCATTCTTAAAATTACACGAAATATAATATATAGATTTATATATATATATATATATATATATATATACTTTTTTTTTGTACTTTATAATGTGCTTACTTAAAACATTTGACAATGCAAGCATATTTAATAAAGTTAACTGTTTTTGTTTAGATATGCATGTCTTGTTTTGATTTCTTAATGTGAAACCTCCTGTTACTCTCCCAAAATTAGGAATGGCACCCCAGTTCATGAAACTGAAACCTGATCAGAATCAATTGCTAACACCATTTGATTATGATTCCATTATGTTGTATGGGTCTTACACCTTCTCCAAGGATCGCAAGAACAAACTCATGACCATGGTGGGCAAAAATAATCTATTCCTTAAAGATGTGATCAATAAGTACTTCATGAGTAAGAGCGATATTATTAGGATAAAGAAATTGTACAACTGTCCTTGATTCAATAAATTTCAGTGGCTACTTTGTCTCTTTTATTCTCTGTTGCTATTTTTTTATAAAGCTTTCAGATGTTTTCTTCATGTTCATTACTACTTTATTTATTAAATATTTAAAGGGTTGAAATATAAATTCCAGTGAGGTAAAAACTACAGTAAAAAATCTGCAATCTTAAAATATCTGATTATAATCTAACATTTTGTAGAGTTTATCACTAAATTTTCGAATTATTAAAAAAAGTATTTTAAAAATTAAAAACTATGAAGATCATGAGATAAGAAACAAAATTAAATCTGATTTTGACATGCAGATTAATTTCAATTTGACACCTGAAAAAATATTAGGCTAAGTTGTTACGATAGGCTTGCTAGGTTTAGAAGTTAAAAATATAAGAAAGAAGTTAAAATATAAGACTGAGGATAGTGACAAATAATGGTTTAACAATTATAGATGTAAATTTAAAGATAGGTTTAGATAATGAAATTGAAAAACTTGATGAATATAGCACTTAATTTTAATCTAGTTATGGACGTCTAGTTTGGAAAATCTGAATGAATTCTAATTATATCAGAACAGCAGAGCATGAATTTGAGTTTTTAACGGTTTTAGCCTGGTTCAGATATTGAGAATGATTAAAAAATTGCATTTGTATAGAAGTTTGAAAGAGGTATTGATACTTTCTGGTTTGTGTATTCAGTAACAAGACTAAAATAATTTTGATACATAGATGATAGAGGGCCACACAGGAGAAAAGTCTCTATTCAATAAAACTGGATCAAATGAATAATAGTAAACAGAGAGCTTTTATCAGTGCAACCCTTAGTCACGAACCACAGATGAACTATTCGATGCACGCAAATATGACGTTACACTTTCTTTTACATAGTAAACACTATCACCATCTATTGGCAATCTTAAGCTACATAATTATAAACTTAACACATGGTATCCAGACTCATATCTATTTACAAAGAAAAGTGAAGAACTGCATTCAATCGGAGTACTTACGGAAGCAAGAAGAAATTATCCATGAAAGATGTTGGTGTGTTAAAATGCATTGTATCCAAAAACATTAAACGACTTCTCAAGTTACGGACAAGGTGTCTAATACACAGTTGAATTGATTTTCTTCTCGGCTCTCTTTGGAGGAAGGCAGGTGACAGGCGTGCAGCGAAGGAATGCTTTCGCCGGTCCTGCTTAAGTAAGTGCTCGTTAGATGTAAGTTTTTTTGTGCTTTTTCATGAAGGTTTCATTATGCATTTATAAGTTAATATTATTGTGTAAGTACGGGTTTGTAAGACATTAAATGCACACAGAACCGATAATAACTAAAAATTTACCTTACCAGAAGAAACACTTCACAGTTGTGGAACTTTCCAAAGTTCCAAAGTTGTGGAACTTTCCAAAGAAATAGTCGTACAGCTATTCGTAGTATTACAGACTACAGCCAGTAGTTACACTTCTTCTACGAACGTTAAACGCTATGCAATGCAAAGCGCATTTAAAAGGCGAAGCTCTAACGGATGTCTCAGTACTCCGAATTCAGCTCTTAACTAGCAACTACCACTCAGAAACTGACGCCCTGTCCGATCTCATATAGTCCCCCCCCCGTCTTTAGTACTTCTGAAAATTACCGGAAAACATATGAGAGCCGGAGACGGTTACAGTTACATACAGTATCAATTACAGTTATTCAATTACCATACCCATTGCAAGTATACAATGTCGCAAGTACGCAATACAAGGACCAGACCAACTTGACGCGAGTTTGGCGACAAAAGTCAGTCCCCAAAACCATTGCCAGCTTGATAATATCTGGCCAATTTAGCTAGATAGCCATTCATTCAATGTTATATAGACTTGCCCCTGTATTCTTAGTTTTCCGAAAAGCTTCGTTTTTTTAGATTTTCATGTTACATTATATTTAAAAAAAAAAAAAAAAAAGATACAATTTCACTAAAAAAAAACAGATATAATTCCACTAAAATTATTTACATATGCACAAAATTCGTAATAATATCATTAATGAATTCGTCTATCATGAAGATGGAATTCGCCGTTTGAACACTTTGCCATAATTCATAGACCTTGCGATAGTCCAGAAAGGTGTTACTGCGCCATTTTGTCCATCTTCACGTAGAGATACGAGGTAAGTGAATAAAATGCCTTTGGCGTGTAGAGTAATTCGGCGGAATAGTAGTTGGACATATTTCATCCTTATGAAATTCTGTTTGATGCTGCATGTATCCTGTGTATAAAAATTAGAGGCTTTCAGAGATAAATTCAGATAGCTATTTCTTTCTTGTAGGATTTTCTAAAGCAGATAACTCGCGAGGGCCTTCCGTGTAATTTGTGATTGCCATGGTATCTTTCTTACTCATTGTATAATGAACACTGAATTGCTGAAAATGTGATTTTGAATAAATAGTAGCTCACACGTGAGCGCTATTGCTTTACTGACGTTGCTCCATTGGATAAGTATAATTTATCTACCTTTATCAGTTTCGGTTATTTGCAGCCACAACGCAGGTATGACTAGATTAATAATTATTTCTTAATATTTGATAATTCCAGGCATCAACAAAAATGAATTAATATCCAAATCTATTCTATTACACTTCCTCTCGTCATTTTCAACCTTCAACTAAAGAAGAAGGTTTTATTTAGCCTTCGAAACTAATCCTGCGAATAAATGCAACTTACGCTAATTCTTTTTGTTTTAGTATCTTTAATATCAGATCAAATCAATCTTTATCTGATTGTTTTCCCTCCCCCCCCCATGACAGCATCATTAAATTGATTTTCTTTTTCCGTTTTCAACCATTTTCTCTTTCATTATAGAGGGCTTCATTGTAAGTTATTAACTAATTCACGAAAAGTTGTAGATCTTTCTTTTTTATTTGTGGTATTTGTCTTTGGCTTAGCTGAAGAACACTTAGTTGCAGCTATTGCCATTCAGTCGCTAAAAGTTGCTTCTGCTAAAATAAATGTATGTCACTTCACACTGTTTTCTTGCATCCAATATTAATAGTCTTAAAATGCAAAATTTCATTGATAGTTCGTTAAATATCGTCTAATTTGTAAAAACTGAGGAAATAACTATTAGTAGATGATATTTTCAAATACGCATACTATCTTATATAATTTTAAAAAAGAAATTCTTTATTGGAAAAGTGATACTGGCCAAGCAAATGTTCAAAAAATAAATTCTTACCTTCAATAAAAATGATCTTATATATTATTTCCAGTATATTCAATTATTTAGAAATTCAGAGATTTAATTCGGATATTTACACCTTTGTAAAATCCTTGAATAAAGATTTTAAATTTTAAGGGAAAATATTCTGACAAAAGTATTTTTGCTTATTTGTTAAATACAGAACAGTACGGTAAAATTACATAATCGTAACAACTAAACAATAAACATCGTAACTATAAACAACAGGCAAATTAATAGATCATTTCGAACACCAGTGTAGCCTGCTTTACAACTCAAACATTAAAATTTAGGTAACTATTCTGAATTAAATATTCTAATTTGCGGCAAGTTGTTTAGCCTTATTATTAGCTGCACAATAAAGCTTCCAACAAAATAAAAGAATGCATATAATAAATAAAGAAAAAAATTAAGGCTGTCTTAACAGATGGAGACATTGTGTTCAAAACACTTCGCAGGATAGAAATTATGAAGAAAATTATCTGTTTTAAAAGTGGACAAAATTTTAAATTGATAGAGATTAGTTTTATACCCAAGCTCTTACCTGAAACAAGCCCCACTTTTTAAGGAGAAACAATTCGAGGACGCCATAAGAATAAATATATAAATCAGCAATTGTAGCACACCATTAGGTAACACATTAGTTAAAAAAATTTTAAACACTTTGGGAACAAAATTGAGACAACAGAGAATTTGGGCAAACGCCGTTACCTCTGTAGCGTGAGCTTCTATTTCTGCATTTATTACTGGTTTACGTGGCGTAACAGCTATTACTTTGCTGCCACTAGACTTCGACGCGGTTTTAGGTTACAGGATTATCTGAGACCTGTAGAATAATTCTACTGCTTGTTAATATCTTTGAATTCTTTTAGTTTAGATTTTGTTCGTTGAGTTACCGCCCGAGTGAGGGATAGTATGTTAGCGTCAAGTTGACGCATTGTAAATTTTGAAGAGTTTTTAATAAAGGGATCTTTTTTAAACCTTCTCCTGTCTGGTTCCTGCACGTACTTCAGCTGTCATACCTAAAACTAAACAAGTAGATATTACAACATAATTAGAATTTAAAGTGAAGCTATGGTAAATTTTAGTGTTTTCTCGTTTAGTGCCGTCTTAACAGGTGACAGGTGAATGCGAAGCCGAGCATCTGGAAGGCTTTATATGACTAATCGAGTGTCGTCGGATACCCAGAACTGTCCAGAGCAACTCCCTCCTGCTGCCTCTCAAGGACTGCATCGGGAGTGCCGTCTTAACAGTATTATGAGCATCTGGTCAAACCAAAGTGCTGGGATCCCCACAACACCCACTTACAGAAATGAGATATAAATGGATTAGCATGGACCCCTATGCTCATGGGGACCCTGGAAAGTGCTTTGCGGGCCCTAATTAAGATGACCCTAATCATGGAGGTAAGAAGTAAGATGGAGTAGCCCTAAACAAGTTTCTCCCGTACCCTGCTTTGAAGCACCGGCGATCCCTATTATTCGTGTTCTTTAACGCGGAACATTAGACTTCATTAGATTGGATGGTGTATGTTAAACTACTAGACAATTATTAGTAACTACTTAATTGAGTCTTAGTGGTTACTTAACTTAGTGGTGACCAAAACATTTGGTCATTTACCATTGAGTTCAATGGGATTTGACGCGTTCGGAAGTAAATATTTTGTAATTACGTCGTAAATATACATAAAAAAATATATATTTTCTTTTTCTTCAACACTTCAGAGTCCTAAGTATATGAAAACAACATATTTTTAAACAACATTTCATTCTGAACGGAATTAAATGCTATATTTTTCACAGGACAGTTTTCTCAGAATGG